GACTCAATCTTCCTCCTAGTTCAAGCCTTCGACATACGAAGCGACCGCCTCCAGCCCTCCGGGCGTGGTATCGATATACATGTGGAAGCGGGAGCAGAAAATATTGTTGGCATGGCTCGGGGTACGTTTGGTTGTTCCTTCTCTGGCTTCGGTGTCTCAGAGTTCCTCTAGCGGCGCCCTACTGTCTCTTTACCAATCTCAACTTCATGTCTGTATTCCTTGCCAACAACACCACTACCCGCCGTCTGCCTTTTCCTCTCAGGCCATTACCACCTCCAGTCTCTTCAGCCTCGTTTCCTTCAGTCTCGTACCCGGACATCCGGTGAACACCCTCTGCTTTGTCTCAACGTCGCTACGCCTGCTCCATCAACCGTTTGAACGTACAGCACCCTTCGAGTATCTTCATAACCGAACGATCACCCAAAAACTCCCCACAAACGGCCGCTGCTGACACGTTGAACATGCCTTTTGATAACCACGACCGAACGCAGGACAAGCCGAGGAGACTGCCCGACGCTTGACTTACGTCACCAGAAAACTATCGCATAATTATTCTCTTTCTTATGCTTTGTGTAGTTTCGTGTTATCTTTTCCAAGTTCTGTCGCACTGACTTATGATGCTAGATCTATCTGTTGGTACGCACTCAGCGACCGGCCGGACTGCCGTTCTCGAATGTCGTTGAACCTTCCCTCTTTCATGTAAGGGTTTCTCTGTGCCACGTCGCTATCAGCTGTTCGTAGAATTAGTCCGAGCCAAATGCATGCCGAATCTTCCTCCCAGTTGGCCGATCTTCAGACATTTATGTCGCTCATACAACCCAAAGAGCTTCCATGAAGTGTGCCCACGAATCTCTCAACGACACATGGCTGAAGTGCATTTTTGGGGCGAGAAATCGCAGTTGAACTTTTAAATGCTCTTCGCAATGGCATGCCATCGATGTTCATTCACTAACCGTCATTTGAAATCACAATTTCTTTATCACCGTCACAGCTCTCCATGGTGCCAGGAGTTGGGACCATCGCCCCGAGATGGGTCGCACCTTCAATAAAGGGCGAAGAGCTTAGAAAAGATGCCAAAATCTCGACCGAGACCGAAAATTCCTCTGCAATTGTATCTCCAAGAAATGTCTATATACAAGGGGACTAGAAATACACTAACGATGGGTCAACGAACATCAAAAAATATCAGAAATTATATCCCTGAAGCAACCCTCCACCCGAACTCCATCCCCACCCTCACAGACGACGACTGCAAATCGAAAGCGTCGATCCTAAGCCAAGCATATCGGCTGCCTTCCTCACCAACTCGACCTCACAGTCATCGACCCACACCTTGACCAACCGAAAACTCTTGACGTTCATCTGTGACGCTACCTCGCTCGCCCGCCTCGATGACCCAGGCTGGAGCTGACAATACCCCGAGAGGAAATTCCTTTCCTTCATCATCCAGAGGACTTGCTCAGGGTCGACGGCGTAGAGCTCGAGCTCGATTAACAAAGGGAGGAGAAGGCCGTTCGCGAGCTTCTCTATCATTGGCATGCGGATTTGGATGGAGGAGGGGAGGCGGAGGACTTCGAGATGGGGAAGGATAGCGAAGAGACTCTCGAGGTCTTGGTATATTCTCGTCTGGGAGGATTTGCGGACAGGCGGAGCATACCCTGGAGCTTTGGGCGAGAAGTCGGCCAGCTCGAGGACGCGGAGGGTACGCGTGAAGTGCATAAGGAAAGGGTCAAACATCGACACCTCCCATCCGGCGTAATCGTCGTACTTCTCGATCCGTAGAATTTCTAGGCCGGGGGCGCGCAAGTAGAAGAAGAACGACGTATCGACGCTCGGGTTGGTGAGCTTGAGGCGAAGAGTTGTGAGATGGGGCATAAGCACATCGCAATATCGATGGTGGAGTGGGCGAGCCGAGACGCGTGGAAATTCGATCTGGAACGAGCCTTCGATGAGGGAGGGAGACACTCGCCGCATGATTCGTAGGAACAGCAGCGGAGAGACGGGATTCTGGCCCAAATCGAGCTTCGTGATAATCGTCCACAGAAGCTTAAGGTCGAGAGGATGGATCTCGTTGAGGATATTGAACGTCGCCTCCTTGAGCGCCTTATGGTTCTCGAATACCGTGAAGTTCAAGCAATCGACAAGGGACCCCGTGAATGGCGAGCGCGGAGTGTCGAGGGTGTGAATGAAGGTGATTGAGACTCGCTCTAGAGCTGGAAACGTGCCGGAGAGAAGGTGAAGGAAGCAGACGATGTCGGCTCCACAGAGGAGGCATGTCAGGGAGACGAGGCGCTCGCATATGGGAAGAAGGATGGTGTCGATGATGGAGATGGCACCGCCGCCGTATAGGTAGTCCTCGACTACGTTCGCCGTATCTCCTCCGGGTAATTGGGCTCGAACGTCGGTTTGGAGCTCTATGGAGAGAGGAAGATCGGCGCTACGGTCGACGTGCTGTTGGAAAAGGCCAACGAGGTTTTCAGGATGTTGAAAACGGATCGGCGGGAGTTGGATGTGGGTCCAAAGAGAAGCCTGGGCGAGAGCGACCCGACGCCACTCGGGGTATGCGTGAGTTATGACGCGGAGCACGTCGTATTTAGGAGCAGGAAATGGGTCTTGCGCTTCGATGCTGAGTTCGAAAATTCGCAACAAGATAGAGGCCGGAAGACGTTGGGCATTCGCCATCGTGAGGGTAGAGCTTGGGCGTGATTTTGGAGCGGTCTTGACTGAGTACCGTCGGTAAAGGCAGAAGAGATAAATCGTACGCTCTACATGAGCTCAGTTAGCGGTGCGAGGCCAACAGATGATGGAAAAATCGTACGCAGAAAGAAAGGAGGTTAAGGAAGGGAAGAGAGAGGGATAGAGGACACCCATCGTCGATGCTCTGCTTATCTGTAACCTGGAGAGCAGAAAGACTGTCCGCGAGGCCAAAGTAGATGTCTGTTAAGCTTTGAAAACGAGCGAAAGAGGGTATGTGCATTCCCTGGAGTCCCCCGAGCGTCTTTCCCACACTGAAAAAAGAGAGTTGGCCGATCCAATGATGAGAGAGACCGCTCCTCCCTCGATTCGAGCCTCGGTGGTGGTCTTCTAATTTATTTACTGGCGAGAATCTCCTCAAGAAGAGCATCCATCTCAGGTACGCTGTAGGACTTGCAGTGAGGACGTTCTCGGAGGTCTGGCCCTGAACAAACGTGCTGCGCTATTCCTACCTCCATTGGTATTCTGGGTCGGAATGGTCTATCTGCATTAACTCTCGCATATTTGAATTACAGACCACTTTTTCAACTGGATGAACATTCAACTAGAGTGGAAGACAGTTCCTCGCTACAACCCTGGAATTGGCAGGATTTTGAGCTCGAATCCGTGTGTTGCTCAATTGATGAACACTCCCCGGGTTTTCCTCTTGTATGCTTATTTTAATCGACATATTCTTGGTTCCCTCTGAAGTTGGAAGAGACTTTTCCAAACGGACCGCTCGGTGTTCTGATTGGACCCCATCTGGAGGGACACGGAGAAGAGACGGCGAGTCCTAATGGGCATTGGGCATCCTTGAGGAGAGATTAAAGTAATGAGAGTGACGACATCATAGGCCTTCCCATTTAATTCTAAAAAGCATGGCTCTAGTAAAATTGACATGTCGGATGTTCCTATGGAAGCTCTTTGCCAAGGCTCTTGTGGATTCACTGACCTTGCTCTGAAGGAGGCGATCTCAGGCAAAGGTCAAATAGCACCTACTTCCAGGTAAAGGAGATACTCAATTCAAATGAGTGGATGTAAACATAATGAATAGATGTCATAGTCGTGAAGAGACGACCCGCTTCGGCCCTGGGCGCTTATTTTCAGGGACATGCCACATGAAGGCACCGACGACATCCTGGGAAATATAAAATGATGCGCTCTTTATCACGTGTCGCAATAATTCGGCCGTTGGGCCCGTGGCTGTGCTCCCGTCCCTCGGATTCGACAAGCAACTAGAATCTGGCTTAAGGTTCTAAGTTCGAGGTACCATTTCTCGCCGTTCAGGTCTTGCGGCCCACATCAAGGATGGGGATTTGTATTAGAGACGGCACCGCGACTATAGTACTTGGGACGAAGTATGTTTCCATGTTCCTTATCTCTGATTTTCTCAATAACGTCGTTGTACAGTTGGCAATGTTGAATGACCCTTCCATTCAGGTCAACTTTCGCAACTTTATATCCAATGTTTAGACCCCGTGCCGAACAGGAGTTCCAGTAGAATAGACACATCGTGTCCTGGGGTGGATGAGGTGAGTTACACCGTGTATGAACGCCTCGCTCGGTCTGACTAACTTTGTCAGCGTTTCATAGCTTCCGCCAACTCATTGAACTCCTACGCGCGTACGGCGAGGAATATGGGTAGGGAAGTGGCGTAGCGTCGAGGTATCCACGATATTTCACCTTCGTGAGTCCATCGTTACCTGATTTCTCGTTTCCTTACGCTTCTTGATACATATCCTCTCTCAGGACTCCATCTACGTCCTGGCTCAAGGGCTTGACAACTGGCTCCGGCTCGACACTTTTCAGGTGTGCGGGCCATGTACAAGCAGGAATGGGAGCCGAACGGGTGGTTGGCACAGCTCGAGGTTCGTCTGCTTGTTCCTGTTCAGTTCTTCGGTTTCTCAAAGTTACTCCAGCCATACCCTACCTCTTTACCAATCACAAGGCCATGTCTGGGCTTCCCGCGAGCGCTACCACCCCATCTTTCCGTTCGCGTGTTATTCCCTCCTCAAGCCTCCAACCATGCCTTCGTCCCGCAAATCCGACGAACCTCCTGCTTTGGCATTTACACCTGCCTTCGAACATCGTCACGATCGTTCACCCCCGCCACCGGAAAGATCCAAGAATCCTCTCAAGCTCAATCTTATTGCCCAGTTCATCATTAATTGGCGTACGTTAGTCGAAGAAGGTCGGATGTTGGCATATGTACGGACTAGGTATGTTGGTGATGATCTGTTATCTCAACTCTGCTGCGATTGATTCCTTCATTTCAGCTGCCGGCTGAGCTGGCCATTCTCGACATCTGGCCTCATCGACGCCTACAACTCCTTCATCCTCGGACCGCGTTGTCCACAACCCCGACCCTGAAATCTCAAGTGTCGAAAACTTATCCAACAACATCGCTTCACCTAAGGATGCTCGCTATGGTCTCCCCCGTTTCCCGTCTGTGCCAAAAAATAAGGCCATTTCAGGCGTTCGGCTCGAACACTCTGGACGCCAATTTGAGGCGAGAACCTGCGACAAATTGATCTTTGTTTCTCGCTCTTTCACTATCCAGTATATGGATTTTATTCTTTCATCACTCGAACTCCGTCTTACTCACCCTTAATATAATAGTTCTTTCTGTTGTATACTTCGACGCCTGCTTCTCGGCTAGCCCAACTACCCAATTTGGCGTTCGGTCCTCTGACGAGTACCTACAACCTGTCACCGCCTTCACTACTACACTATTGTCCTGCTTTCATGGACTTTTTGGACTCCGGGAGGTTCATGATCTTTGTTTGTAAACTTTGTCGTGCTGATGTGAATGCAAAGTACTCTTAACTCTCGTCAAATCTCTCCTCGCCCGCTCGATTTCCTCCAAAGGCCCGTTGTTCCGCATCGCTTATGGGGTGCCTTTATCTGAATATGTCGTTGGCCTCGTCCGCCCCGCTATTTACCTATCAGCATGCTATCGTTTTCCCACCGGACGAGGCAGCGGGTGGACGAGTCACGACCGGAGGAACGGAGCGACCTCCTATCCGCGTTCTCTGCCTGCCAACCACGAGCGATTGAAGTCAAATTCCAAACATGTACTACGCGCAAATGTTTCGTGCTGCCGCGGCCTTTTTTCCTTTGGGTCCACATACCTCCTCGACAGCCCTAATGAAGAAAATGTCTAGGTCCGCCAACGTTGCTCGCAATTTCATCCCATCTTTGTGGTCATCGCGAATTTGTGCGTTGAATGCCCTGCCTTCTCTTAATAACCATGGAAGGCAAGAGAGGAAAGAAAACCTACTGTATCATTGGGTCCGTGCCCCAGATATCGGGGAATTTCTGTTTAATCGCTCGGAGTACTCGCGCTCGATAAATGTCCTCGAAATAAATGGGAAGGTGTCCACACAGGACGTCTTCGTCGTGGTACATGAAGTGCACGTACACGAGGACGGCATCGTGGTTGCCGCTCGTATCCAGCATGCGGCGAACCATGGCAGGACCAATCGAGGCCATGTCGCCGACTTTATACGCAAAACTGGTGGGTGGGTACGTCTTGCTGCGCGACAGGAACATGACCTCCAGATATCCCTTGATCTTCTCCGCGGCGAGTCGAATCATATCAGCTTCATCCGGCGAAGTCAGAACGGCTAGCATGTCCGTGGGAGCGATGGGCAGAAGATATATCTTGAGTTCGATATGTGGAATATAGTCGAGGCGGGGCGATTTGTCGAGTTCGTCCAGGAGGTTGAAGGCGATGGCGATGCGTAACTTGAGCATTAACTCAGGGTGCTTCCGAACGTTGCGAGAAAGTTTGTGAATCACCCTCCGTTGCGGATGGGTGGGTTCACAATATTCCTTGTGCCTTGGCCTGTTGGTCGGTTGACGCGATCGAGCGACTGAAGGGGCGGGTATCTTATGAATGAGGATCGAGACTCACCAGTCGAACCTCTGGCACTAGCGGGTGCCAATGCGAATGGCACCTTTAATTCTTGCCCCTTTCCGACCAGAAAATCACTCACCTCGCGAGAGCAGTAACTCGCCGTCTCACACTATGGCGATGGAATCAGCAAGACGGTATCGGCTCAAGCGATTTCATACGTACTCCTGCGCACGACATCAGCTTCCTGCGTTCTCTCGCGAATACTCGTTCATAATCAAATCGGCCAGGACAATCATCATTGTGGCATTTCAAGCTGCGACCGGTACCATCGAAGACTTCCTGGATCCTGTCGCGATCCTCGGGTAAGTAACCCAGCGGAACATTCAAAAGTTCCTTGAAAAGGGCTTCTGTGGGCTCGAATTGCATAGTGGTGCGATAACGGTTGGAGGTATAATGGAGAGAAATGCAGTCAAGGTAGATGGGTGAGAGAAACAGCTAATCCATGGCGTCGAACAGAACCCACCAAGTTATAGGGATTCCTGGCGTTTCCCGCATGGCGTTATGTTGGGGGCCCAAAGTATCGCTGACAGTATGTCAGTACCCTTTCACGATGTTCACGATCTGTGTTCTAGAACTGAAAAGTCACTTTAATTTCCGTGATGTCAGACCGTTCGAACTTGCGTATTCCTGACTTTTAAGTCTACAACGGGCGTTGTGCTCACTCCGTCCTTGAACGATAGTGTTGAGTGGATCACTTTCGCCTTTCCAGACGTCGCAGCGCTCTAGATTAAGCAAAGGTGACCCGTGAAATATAATGATCAAAGTACTGACTTTTCGTGCTTCCGTGCTGTTCTAACTCTGCATCGGCGTTAGCTGATTAATCCGAAGGTGCGGGCCCATAGAACTGGTGCTTCCTTACACGCACAGATGTGGATCTCACGCTCGATCAAGAGCTTCTCCCATTAGGCGGACTGTCGGGAATGCCGATCCGTCCAACATAGTCAGAAAACACCAAATACGTCTGCACTCGAGAGCGAGCCAGAGTAAGCCTGTTCGACCCAGCACACGAAATGTTTCATGTAGACAGCCACAGGGATCAGCTCGGCCTCGCTTGAACCAACCCAGCGTTGGAACTCTGGTCGAATGACTTTCGAATGGGCGCGTAAGGACGGGAACAACGTTGCTGTCCCGAACCTTCCAATTCAGGTTCAAGTCGGAACACGTGATACCGGCGGATCATTTTCACAGAAGGTGGCGGTATCCTGATTTGGATTTGTCCGCTCAAATAAGCGCCCAGGGACAACGCACGCCGCGTGATGGTCAGACTCGTCGACCACAACATCTGGATTCATCGACTCGGTGTTCCTTGTCTGAAAATAACTACCTCTTCCTTGCTACATCGCACGAGGCAAGCCAGTGAATCCAAACAAAACTTGGCAAGTGGTGTCATAGGAATATCCAAATCTGATGCGTCATTATTACTAGGGACACGGATTTTAGAGCTGAATATAAGATACTGATACCCCAATTCGAAGGAGGTGCCGTCACCTTTCGTACCAAGGCGTCTACTCGAGGTCCATTTCAACACAAGCTTTCAGAGCATCCCAATTGCACGGCTTCGCTCAGGGTAGCCGGACCACCGAGGATGTCCTTGCGCTAAAATCCTGAATCTTTATATGCATCAGCACCCGCTTTACGGCTACGCTAATAGGGCGAATCTCATAAAGAGATTCTCCGTTGGAAAATCTGTTGGAATGCATCTACGGAGCACCGAATTGAGGACGGAGTGCGGTCTCCCAGATCATTGGATCGGCCAACTCTCTTTTTCCACTGTGGGAAAGGCGTTCGGGAGCTCCAGGAACGATATAGAACCCATCGACAGCGAAACTCTTCAGCGACGCCACGCCTTGGAGACGGCGGGAATTTCTATGTCGATTTCAGATCGGCACGGGGAGAACCTATTCGCTGAAACGATATATGGAGACGAGGGCACAGGTTGAGAGCACGAAATTACTCTATGTAACTTCGTCGTCCTGTCATGGATAAACTAAGCTCAAGAATTTATTGACATTTCCATTCGCCTATCCTACACCACGTAAATTCCAATCGTTTGTACCCATCCCGAAACGTTCTCCGTCATATCTGGGATCCAGAACAGTGTCAGTGTGCGGCTGGAAGCTGCACTGAACCTACGGTCGATCCTTAGGTTCAGCGTCGGCGTCTTCCCCCTGGACCATACCGAATATTTTCTATGTCTACGTCTGCCATGTCCGCGACCATCTTCAGGGTATCTTTGGGGTCATGCCCGATTTGTCTATTTATCGCCCTAGTAATAGTGGTCACATCCAATATGAGCGATACAATACATGTAATGAATTGGCAGAAGGAAAGGCCAACATACATAATCATAGGGTTCAAGTGTTCCCAGGTGCCAGGGTACCGATCCTCAATCGCGCGAAGCACTCGAGCGCGGTAAATATCTTCTGGATAAATCGGGAGGGTCCGCTCAGGATGGATTGGGTCCATAGATAAAGTGCGTGTAGACCACAAATGCGTCCCGGTTCCCCGACGCGTCGAGTAACGCCCGCATTCGCGTCCAGATCCGGATGCGGACCTCGTCCAACAAAGGGTGGTCGAGCTCCTTCATATCTGGGGGCCCGACCATGGCCAGCTGCAAGCGACCCTGGGGCGCCGGGAGGCTGATAAGGGCGTTCAGGTCGTATAGCGGGGATGACATCGCTTCGAATAATTCCCGGGATGTCGGGTGGAGGTACAGGTAGACGCATTGTTCTCTGATCGTGTGGTGAGAGGGCTTGCTGGTGGGGGAGATTTGGTCGAGCATGTCGAAGGCGATGGCGATACGCAGTTTGAGCATGATGCTCTCGGTTTTGCGAAGGCGTCCTGCCATTTTGAGGATAGTGAAGCGCTGAGGGTGTTCTTGTTTACATGCCGGCTTGTGGTTCTCCCTGGAGGGTGAGGTTGGTTTTAGTCGACCGCAGGTGGATTGGTATTCGAAATCTTCTAGATCACTTACCAGTCTGCCTTCTGACACTGTGTAGTTCGTTGTGAGTATAGGCACAAGTCTCTATTCGTATGCTCTCACGTCTTGAGAACAATAGAACGCCCCCTGACACTGGATGCGAATTTTATATTTCAACACATCCAGGCGAGGAAGGTGATCAATGGGACGTACACCCGTGCACGCGAATGGTGCAACGACGCCTTTCCTCTTCTTGCGGCCTCTTTTCGAAGGGCAGGATGAGTTGTTACACTTGATGGCCCCGCTTCCATCCGAAAAATCGCGGGCGAAGGCGCCCTCAGACCCAGGCAGTGCGGCCCCAATCGATGTCGTTGATGTCGTGATTATCCGTTGGTGGCATGAGAGTGTTTGTTGCATTTTCAATCACCGGAATAGACGAATTCGGCGTCGTACTTGTACAACGCAAGGTAGAAAGCTAGGTAGATAGATGATGGATGTCCGTAAAGACAATCAGCGCAATTGCTCAGGGGATAGATTGGCTGAGCGGACCGAGCGGCCCGGTAAACACAGCCAGTTCCGCAAGCAAACTGAGCTTTCCCTCAAACCACCACCACCTCCACGACGACAAGCGCTACCGTTTCTGTTGCAAACCTCCAGAAAATGCAGAAATTGTGGTCAGGAATGCTCTCTTCCAGGGCCAACTCGTGTTGTATGGGCTGTTCGTCTCTATGCGCGGAGCGGGACTTCGGTACGACACGAGGGCTCTGCTTTACCAAGGTCGACAGTCCTGCCCAGCGCTCAGCGCTCTCGAGTAGGTCGGAATAACTTGAGTCACCATTGTAGTAGGGATCGCGACCGTCGCTGAGGAGCTTGGGTCCGGAGTCGTCGAGGGTAGACAGTAGCAGCGAAGTGCTGGACGTATTCTAGGTGCGTTCACCAACCTACTACCAATCGTCCGACCCCATCTAGCGAATTTTCGTCATCTCAGATCGAACTTCCCAATGTATAGCTTCACCAATTGTCTTTAGGCATGAACCCGACGTTGCGGAGGGGGACTTTGGCCTACAAACCTCCAGCATCCTTGAGGCGTATATCGAAGGTATGTTTGTATCTCCCTTTCGTCTCCTCATCTTCCCTTGTATTGCCCTATCTGTTTGAATAGGCTCGTTCGTCACGCGGCAGATTGTGGTCGCCGCTTTCTTTCAGCTCGTCCGCTTTTCATCGTGTCACATTTCAACAACTCATCGAAAAAGAGGAGTCTCGCGGCGCTGATATGAAAGAACGAACACTTTGCTCCATGAATTTGAATATTTGGCTCTGCCTTTCCGCGGCTAGGGAGAATGCATCGCGATGGCGCTTTTATTGGAGAACGGAGTCTAAGGGTGGATTAGTGTCGGCGCGGTTCGTCCTTGCTTCCATCTTCCACATTAAGATTCTCTTACACTGCGTTAGATGAACGGCGTCCTCGTTTTCATGCTCCACTCCCGCAAGCCCAAAAATCCTTCTATCCATGGCTAAAATCCACGTCGCTGCCATCAAGGCTTTCGTGCGCCCCGAGTAATGTCCAGAGTATTCTTCGGCGTTGGCGTCTTCAATAATTGCAATGCAAGGACCCCTACAAACACCGCGAAAGCATGGTGCTGACCAAAACGCGAATAGAGATGGTCAGATCGTAGTCAGATCAAGAGACACTGAGAAAGTCGGAAAGGAATTTCGAGGAGATTTGGACAAGTTCCGGCAGGAATATTGTGTAGGTGAGCTTTGCTTCTCGGTATTCGCCCGCATGCATCAAGTTCGTGCTAACGTAAGTACTTTGTCCTAGACGAAGATCGCGAGGATAGCGTTTGTGCACACAGAACGATTATGTGAGTTGTCTTCTTCGATGGCGAGTTGAAAGAGATCAACCTATATTTCTAGATGTCTATCTTTCACCCTTCAAACGTGTTTTGCTGAAGTTGATATAATCTTCCAGCAAATTCAGGGAGACGACGCGAGATTCGCTGATCACCCTATTTATTTGACCGAAGTATCTCGTAGTTTGAAAGGTCCAAGACGGTTTATGGCCTCTGCCAGAGAGAGAAGAAATCTGGATATAATCTTCGATATATCCTCAGAGGCAGAGCCCACAGCGGATGGGCGGTAACCATCGTATTACAGCCCTTTTACCCAGGAAAACGAACGCACATGCCTATATCTCAGTGTACTTCCATGAATGACCAGCTCGGATAACACATCGAGATCGTCCATAACGGGAAACGGTAGGGGTCATTTACAAGGCGCACGGTGGTAACTAGCTTACATGTCGGCGAGAGAACTTGAAGCTTGCTCGAACATTTGAACTTTGCCGCCGACCAACCGAACGTACAGCTCTATAAGCCACCGTTGTATACAGATACTCTGCACTCATTTGCAGTCCTCAGCCACTTCCTTCGAGAGATTCAGCGCCAATTTTGTGAACTCGGATGTTGTGTGCAGAGGCCCAAGCGGATCTAGCGGCCCGGTTCTCCAGTGTGTCCGAATGGGCCGGGGTTTAAACGACACTTTCTCTTGCACACCCACCACCACCATCTCCATCGCCAGCCTCAAGAAACATCGCAATCTTCCTCATGTACAGCTCGTGGGAGATGAGGTATTCGCCTCTACGTACGTACATTCCTTGTACGACTCGATAAAAAGGTTGAGACTGACGCACTTTTTCCCTAGGCTAATTGACCAAACGGTATCGAACACCGATGTCCGACGCCCATCTTGCCTTCCTCTACGCCGTCGCTTGGTTAACAAAGGCCAACAGCATACCTCGGTTCTCGGCGCTCTCGCAGGCCTGGCTAACACTTGCGTAGTCGCTGGCGGCGATAATACGGTCGTCACTGTGGTTGGAATTTGAGGCCTGAGGTCTGAGACTGAAGACATCGATGGTAGGGGTGAAGATAGCAGGTACTCGAGCAAGTGTTTCAGGTGCGTTATTCTTCCGCCTGACCGTACGACTCTATCCAACGAAGATTCGTCATCTCAGATCGAATGGCTCGACATCAACCTCCTCCTGGTTGTCATCCCGCCCATGGACACAGCTGCGACATGCTCAGCATCGAGGATGTGGGTTGTCAGCTTCAACCTGTGGCTCCTTCTTAGCCGCTTCCATCCCAGGGCCTTCCTTGCTCTTCACCTCACACTTCCAAAATGTCGTCGAAGTAAACGGTGCCAGAAGGAAGGAACAACTACTCCACCCCTCGACTCCGTATATTCCGCTCGGATCCCCATCTACGTAGTTGGGAGATCGCATCGGCGTATTTCTGTGTTGATAGTCATGGAGGCGAAGGGCAGCTTGAGGTCGTCACGGTTCATTATCGCCCCCATCTTTAGTGGCGATATTCTCTCATGCTTCTGTAGACCGTCGTCGCGTTTGCGATTATTCCCGCCACTCCTGAGCTCAAATTCCTACGTACCGCCCAAAATCCATGTCGCCCACGTCAAGGCCTTCTTGGACCAAGTAACCCCATGTACACCACGCTCTTGAAATTTAGCAACGCGAACGTCGCGACAGTTTGCGGCCCTGAAGAGAATGCAAATAAAGCTTTGAATAACGCTGCGAATAGAGAACGTCAGATCGTTAGATTGGATGACGAGGCACCGAGGAAGTCGGACGAGGATTTTGAGGAAGGACTGAGGATTTGTGCGAGTTCTGGCAGGAATGGCGTATAGGTAGGCTTTGCTTCTCGGTATTAGCTCGCATTCTTCGAGTTCAGCTCGCGTTCCTCAAATTCGTGCTAATATATTTGTTCTAGACAAAGGTTGCAGTAACGTTGTTTTAAACACAGAACGGTTATGTGAGTTGGCTGTTTTGGTGGCGAGTTGAAAGAGACTAATGGTTCTTCCTAGATATTCGTGCTTCACCCTCCAAGAATCTTCTATTAAATCCGACTTTTGTCTGTCAGTCACACAGTTTCGGCATTCTCGCAAACTGTGGCTGACGACGCGAGATTTTCTGACCGCCATATTGCTCTGACTGAAGTATCATGCAGTTTGAAGGCTCCACGACGGTTTCAAATCCTAGTTAGAGAGAAGAAATCTGGATGTGAGGGCGCGTAGTGGATGAGCGTAACTATCGCATTAAGTCCGCCCCTTTGCCTGGGCAGACGCGGGTCTATAGCAGGAAATAGCAGGAAACGATCGACGTCGTTCATTAGCTGCGCGGAATCCATGGTCCGGCTACAACCAGGAATCACAACGCTCCTTTCTTCCTTCATTCAACCTTCAAGGTCAGATTTTTATCGCTTTGTGAAGTCTGACACTTACACGGACGTGCGTCAGATCGCTACTCGAGATCAGGCCTCTTCCACCAAGGCAGCTATTGTTCTCTACACGTCTCCTGCAATCCCCCTTGTTATAACCACCCTGGAGCTGCATTGTCGCCGCGTATGAGGGTCCCTATGTCAGCGAACAAGCTTACCCACTTATCACCGCCTACTCCGCTTCCTTGTCTTGTCTGTCTGTCGTTACTTACGAAAGATCTGCAGCGAACTTCTATCGAAAGAATCGGTGCTCGATTTGTTGCATGTCGACCCGAAAGCATTAGGCGGTGCGGTGCTGAAGGATGTTCCATTGTGGGCGGCGTTATGTCCTAGGATTGGGACGAAGAGGGTAGGGTTAAAGAGGTAAGCCGGCGACATTTCGTGGCGAATGGCATGATCCGTTCACGATGTATACAGAATCCCGCCGGCGTCATCAGCATCGACACCTTTGCATTTCCGTAGACTTCCTTAGACATTCAGGCTATCCATCCGGCGCTCTCGTGCCACGCTGGAGAACGCTACAGCTCGCGCGTCGTGCTCGAAAGAGTAAATGGTAGGATACCTACCTCCTCGAGTCTGTCTTTTGTGTTGGTCATGAATGGAGTATGTTCTTGTTCCAGATTAAAAACTTCGACGTGTCTCGAGTATCCAGGATAGCACGATGCCATTTCTCATCACCTTCTCCTAGAAGACACCTGGGTTAGTAGGTTAATTTCATTTTCGCCTTGTATTCGCCATTGTTTAGTATTACAAGCTTTGTACAGCATGTCGCGAACAAGAAATTGCTGTACCAGCAGGCATTTAATCTGCGATGCTTATCAGAAGTCATTTTAAGATACTAGTCTGTCAAGAAGCCTCTGGAACACACCATCATACGCCCGATTAGAGTCGATTCCACCGGGATTGCGGTTCCTGCATCTCACCTTGCCCGCGGAATGAAGCAATTCCCCACAACTATAAGTATGGCTTTATCCCGCTCCGCATACCTCTAGATCGACACCCCAATGACGTTGGCATCGTGGACCCTCTTCCTCACCGCTGTCCTGCTGACTGCCACTCGTTGGGTATTGTCACCGAAGCTTCGTCTCCCACCAGGCCCGCGAAGGTGGCCGCTAATAGGAAATCTACCTCAACTATTTCTGGAGCACCCGTGGAAAGCTTTTGCTCGGTGGGCACGGGAATACGGTTTGTGCTATTTCCCGGCTTCCCTTGACAAGGGCTGACCCCGAAATTTACAGAATCCTCAATCATCTCCGTCACTGTTCTAGGAACGACATTTATCATACTCAACGACGAACGTTCGATTCGAGAGCTTCTTGTAGAGCGTGCTCTGATCTATTCCGACCGGCCGTGCACGAAATGGTTTGAGAAGTAAGTCGTCCATTTACTATTGCGATTTCATCAATTTGGAATGTTCCTTACTTGCCCGTTTAGAATAGGTATTTCACGGCTGTTCTTTTTTCAGGACTACAACGATAAGTGGAAGCGTGTGTTTCATCGAATTCTGTACCCCGGTTCGTCAGTAAAAACCAGATTGAAATAGGCGACCGAGCACTATTCAAGCGCCACATAGAAAGCGATATATCTACAACGCGTTCGAGCGAACTTGCTGCTTCCCGTCGCCTTTTACTTCGCTTATTGGACACAAAGGACCACGTCGAAGAATTTCATCGGTAGGTGGCACGGGATTCGAGAATTCAGTCATGCTGATGTCTCGTAGTGCTTCAGGGGATTATATTCTCTCCATGGTCTACGGAATACCTCTCGACAGGCAAGCAGATTATGTCGCTCTTTCTCATGAGACGGATACCTTGGTAATAAAGCTTCTTTTTCGGACACTTCTTCGTACGCTCATGGCTTAATTCCTGAGTAAAGGAGTGCTAATTCAAAACGAAAACTTCCAGTGAACCACCTCCCATTTCCTATTAACTTTCCCTCGTGGTTTCCCGGAACTACATTCATCAATCAAGCCAAAAAATGCACAGTGTTCGTCGACAAAATGATACGCACTCCTTTCAATACCGCCAAGGATGACATTGTAGGGTATATCTGTCTCTGAATACCACATAGCTGACGTTAGCTCATAGAAGAGATGTGGTAGTACTCCTTCCATTGCGTCTCGGTTCTTTGCGATGTTCGAGGGAAAACCTCTAGACCCGTTCGAGATAGACGAAGTGGCGAACGTTTTGGGTGTCGCCTACGCTGCCGGAATCGACCCAATCTTCGCACTGCTGACATCCTTTGCCACGGCGATGCTCTTGTATCCAGAAGTCCAGCGCAAGGCCCATGCAGAACTAGATACAGTTCTCAGTGGCCGCATTCTGGACTTTGGCGACTACGGAAAGATCCCTTATATCGATGCACTTATCAGCGAATTGCTTCGATGGAACCCGGTAGCCCCTCTAGGGCTGTTTCGATCACTGAAGCAAGACGATTCGTACCACGGCTACACCTTCCCAGAGGGTTCAATAATTATAACGAATATATGGGCAGTCCTCCACGATGAACGACATTATGGCCCCGAGCCGGACAAATTTATTCCAGAGAGATTTCTGAGGTCTGACGGCAGTATTGACCTAGATCGTGCAAATGCCGAGGGGGCCTTTGGCTTTGGGCGGAGGAGCTGTGCTGGTCAACGTAAATATTTTTGCCGATACGGAGCGAGGTGAGCTAATCGGGTCAACTTTCCAGGTATTGCTCGCGAATTTGCTTGGATCGTGATCGCATCGATACTCAGTGTCTATGAGATAGCGGATGGGGTGGATCTGAATGGAAAGCCGCTAGATGGGTCTGAGATCAAGTACACAAGCAGTCTTGTCAGCTTCCCCCCTTATTGTCGGTGCCAGTTTCGTCTTCGCCCTGGAGTTACTGCATCCACGATCCTAGATCTAAATTGTATCTCTACCTAACGCGTCACAATGGCCGAAATTATCGGAGTCACGGTGCAGGTTATAAAGGAGTGAGACATTCTTGCGTGGTGGACCCACAACGGTGCATACCAGGGGCGCGAAAGAATTCGCATTGGACTTTAAATTTTCGTGGGGCTTTAGACCTGCAGGATAATTACTTTTCGAAAATTTGGGATGGGTATACTCACTTGGATCCCACGTCCGGTCACTCCGAGAGGGCTCATACGCACAGTCAGGATAGAGGTACGGATCGTCCACTGAGAGAGTGAATGTGGACATTTCTCTCTGGGCGAAACGAATTTAGACCGACTGACCTTCTAATCGAGATCTAAAACATGCGCTCTTGACTTGTGTACACCCATCCTCCCGCCGTGCCACTACTTGTGCTCGATTCAGGCAGCCCAGAACGTTGAACGCCTACCTCCCGTTTGTTGTACCCATCCAGCAGTCCTTTTAACTGTCCCAGGCGCTGAGACGCCGATCCTTATATTGTTGGGCCGGGACATGATGGAGATGTGTGCCACGGAAATGATGTGCCGAAGAGTTTTGGTGAGGTTTCGGATGAAAACCCTGGCCAAAACTGATTCAAAGATCATCGATCGGACCAGAACTCCTTCCTCCTGCCACGTAACGTACCAAGGTACCCCTTGCGTCCGTCTTCTTGCCCTTATCCACGTCTGACTTCCTGACTTCATCCTAATCCTAGATCCTAGGTACTGACTGTGCCGCTGATCTGATCTCGTGCCACTCGTACGTCTCGCTTTTGTTTTGTCGTTGCTCCTTGCCCTGCCTAGAGCCTCCTGACACGCACGAGAACAGTGTTGTTGTCAGTGTGTGTATCCTGCTCTTTAGCCTCCGTTGTCGTTACTCGGTTGTCGTTACTCAATGGGTCTTTGTCTAGCGCGTTGAGGTTCCTTAGGCACTGCCCGATCCACCTGATCCACCTTCGGTCTTTTCTACTCGTGCGTTTT